CCATTAGTGGAACATTACTTAAAAAAAATTATCGTAATTTTAAATTTTATTCAGTACAGTCTAAAATATGTTTTATTGCTTTAAAAATTATATACAATGTGATAAGTGTCTGTGCGATTTTACATGTTCATTACTTATTTGACGACATTAGTTTATTTTTATTCAGTCACAATATTAATTCTTGTAACTGATCTCGACAATAATCCGGGTTGAATATGTAAGTGTAAGTTAAGAGGTTATCATGCAAAAATAATGCAGAACGGGGCGTTTAACTTGCATTTCATTATCAGCCTTTGTTCGATCGATTTCCCATAATGCAATATTGAATTGCATTTTATATTTTTAAAAATGTTCAGTTACACAAGACAAGTACGTCTTACTCCTCACGTTTCTATAAACGTAACGACTATGGTTGCAACATTTTTAATGATTTAGCCGAGAGGTGGAAAATCGATTCGACAGAGGTTTAAAGACCTTTCGCCACGACATTCGCCCTTCTTTCTAACGCTTGTCGAAAGCAAAATGGGTCATGGTAAGAGTCGAACGACCTCTAAATGGAAAGTACGCAGGGTGGAAAAATTGAATAAGAACGTGACAATTTATCACGTTGCAGTAACTACACGGTGAAGGATTATTACACGGAAGCTCTGCTTTGTCAGAATTCAGCCGGCGATGCTGCATAATGCGGGGGCATTTCTTTTTAGAAGGGCCTTTTAACTTTTTTAGGAAAATTAATGCTCATCTTTATTATAAATTGCACGCGAACCCACTCACTCCCTCTCAGAATGGGTCGCGATTCGGGCACGTGATGGCTATCGAAGACCGGAATCTTTTGTCGCGTGGCCTTAGTCATGAACTCTGTATGCTACTAAGAACAATCGCCCCTTTTTCTCGTTTGGTTAAAGAAACTGGGTGCTCCTTAAAAAAATAAAACATAAAAAGAACGAACAGGAAAGAAATTTAGGTCAAGGCTATTAAATAAAAGACCTTTTTCCATTTACGTTGAATATTTCATGATAATATACGTTTCTATTTCATACAGAATTTAATTTCATTTTAAAAACAATGGGAACGCCAATTGGAAAGAAAATTGTTTGTCGAGTTTTCGAGAAATATCTCCTTCGTCACGAATACAAAACTATCATCAATATTCTACAAGAATTGTCACTTTAGTAAAAGCATACACAGAAAAAAAACGAAGCTGGAGCAAAAATCAAATGGAGTTGTGAGAACAATTATTCAGAAATCGTGAGAAGCGGTCTGGTGTGATGTAGGTTTCAGAAAAACATTTCTTTATCGTGCCAAAGTTTCGACCTTTATTGAGATCATCTTCGGGGCTTGGGATTTACAAACATTGTTTAAATTTAACAAATACATGTGGGATGTGGAAAAAAGTGAATTTATATACAATGCAAAAAAAAATATTTTTTTTTTATATATTCAATCAAAGTATTTCTACTCACTCAAAGTATTTGTTTTTTGCGTAAATTCTTGTTAAATTTCAACAATGTTTGTAAATCCCAAGCCCTGAAGATGATCTCAATAAAGGTCGAAACTTTGGCACGATAAAGAAAATGTTTTTCTGAAACTTACATCACACCAGACCGCATCTCACGATTTCTGAATAATTATCGACTAACGGTCACTAATCGCTACACACGTTGTGAGAACAATAGAAGACAGGTGCGATGAAGCAAAATTAAGCATAGTCCTCAAAAATGCCGGTCGCTCGTGTTTAAAGGACAATTCAGAACCATTCCTGTTTCCACTAAATTTCAGAAAAAAGTATTAGGCCGAGCGAAAAAGTAAAATACTTAAGCAAGTTTTCGGTTGAAGGAAGAACTTTTTCTAGCTGACTTACCCATGAAATAATATCTTATTAGTCTTAAAGATCTCATAGAGGTCGTGGTCAGGTTGACCGACTAACGTTTTTCAATTAATTATTCTTTACATGTAGGGTTTGGTTGAGACAAAAAAGTCAGTGTCAGGAGCGGGATTCGAACACACGACCCTCGGGTCAATACGCCGCTGCTCTACCACTTGAGCTATCGTGACTTCGATCCTCTCGGACATTAACTTCCCATCCCAACCTCACCTTTCGAATTTTCCCTCCTTTTTGCCATTTTCGCTTTATTTTATCTCAACCAATGTCTTAAAGAAAATTGTGTCGACAACACCTTGTCACCTTTCCGTCAGTGTTGGTTGATCTTTGACAGTGTTGGCGGTTGTAAAATTTATTGGAAAAAGTCCATTCTTTTTTCAACTTCGGTGATTATTTTTAGATGCCCACATCTCTTATAGGTAGAGCAGCACACTTACCAAATCTTTATCTTAAATAAATAAATAAAAAATTGAACGATAATATAATAAACTTGAAATACTTGCATGGCAAAAATCGACCAGTTTTTCTCAGAATCTTTGCTTTCGAAAAAAGGATGATAACGTATTTTAATATAAACCAAATTAAATGTGATTAAAAATCCATTAGGTTTTATTTAAAAAAATAATCAGAAAATTAATCAAAACACTGGAATACGATTTTTTGATATAATGAAATATCTAACAATTTATTGGCGTAATATACTAAAATTGGAACAATTTATTACACGGTTTTGCTCATAAAATTTAATTAACAATTTATTTCATAGTTTTGCCCGTAAAATTACACCATTTTCTAATGTCGGGTAGGATCAGAACAGGACACTCATATTTTTTGTAGTTTATTTCAAACTAAGTACATGTAATTTTGTCGTTATATTAATTACAATATGTTATTTTAATGTAAACCAAATTAAACGAGATAAAAAATTCATAAGTTTTTATAAACATTGTTTAATTATGATGCTTAGGAGCAACTTTATTTAAAACAATTAAGTTTAACATAAAATTTATTAGATGGTTGTGCTCATAAAATTTAACTAACAATTTATTACAATGAATCGTGAGATGCGGTCTGGACCAGTCTAAATAAATATCAATTAACGGTCACTAATCATCACACATTTATTACAAGGTTTTGCTCAAAATAGTGCATTAAGAATAAAAGATGCGTTGCGATTGTGATAGTGATTATTGTGATAAACGCTGTGGTCTGTACGCGACGTGTACTTGCGTCGGATGTGCACACCCCACCAAAACGTGGCAAGGCGTCGGGTAGCGTCGCATGGCGTAGCATCGGGTAATTGTGTTCCTGGCTTAAGGATAGGCTGAGCAAATTGATCGGAAACTGCCAAACTACACTTTCCCCACCCCATAGGAAATCTCACAATTAAACACATGTGTGACAAAAGTCCACTGTAAAAATCTGTTTTTAATATTAGAAGTATCGACCACTTTTTCACTTTCTTCTTCAAGACCATTACTTGTTCAAGAGTGTTCGTAACCAAAAATCTTTGACAGGTACAGCTGACAGTAGTTAAAATGGGAAATTGCCTGGTTAATATAACAATTTCCTTTATTTCACATGATGTTTGTCGTGATAAAAGCTATATTTTGGCCATTATGAGCGTTCATGAGCGTTCCAATGCCTCTAAGTTTTTTTCTCGAAAATTAAATCTGGTGATAATTTTGAAACGACGTCACTAATACACATAAAAATTACCACAATTACCAACCCTATAGCCTTCACGTAATGGCATTTATTGGTTTTCGGTTAATAAATTATAATAAAAATATAGAATAAAACGTTTGAAGAGTTTTTGTTGATTCAATTCCATTTCTCTCAAACATAAGGAATATCATCTAAACTTTGTTGAGACAATCTGAAAGAGAAATAATTCTGCATTCCAACGGTGGTATAAACTTCCAATTTGGATAAAATTCCGAGGAATTAGGGAATTTTTAATAGATCAACAAGATACCATAGAAAAATTAAGTAATCCTCTCAAAAGCATATATTTTCTGTTAACTATAAAAAAATCTTATTTAAGTGCTTTAAATGGTGCTTCATACGAATCTGAATTGGTTTATTAATTAAAAATTGGCCTGCATCTTTTTGTTTTTGTTATTTTGCATATTAATCTCATTTAATACGTTCCTGTTTATTATTTTCTTATCTATTTTCGTTGTGTTTTCTTTATTCTTAAGGTGAATATTGATATTAAAATTGGTCTCATTCAAATTGGAGTCGCACCATGAAACGTTAATACGTATTATGCGAACTGTTCAGGACAGACTCTGCCGCTGGGATTTATTAGATTATTTTTAAGAAAACGACCGAGTTTTCATTATTTTCCTCAACAAATTACAACTTTTCCGAATTTTCTCCCCAAGTCGAATGAAATTGTATTATTTTCTTTTCATTTGAACAGTCTTAGAGAACATTGTTTCAACACCTTGTTGATCTTGCTACCTTCTATCGTGAAGGTGTTCCTTGGTAGATGTAAAATTTATTTGAAAAAGTTCAGTCCTTTTTGCATTTTGGTGTTTATTTTTAAGTGCGCAAATCTCGGGATATATAAACATTCCGAGTAATTACTTAAAAATACATAAATAAATAAACAAAAATTGAACGATAATGTAATATCTTTGAAATACATTCATGACAAAGACTATTGACAAATTTTCTTCAAACATTTTTCCTTTGAAAATGATTTTTTTTTAATTACCAAAAGGTTTTAACTTAAAAGTGACAACTGATCCATATTTAATTTTTACAGCGGTTTAAAACACTTAAATTACACGGTAAAACAATAACGTAAACTAGAGCGATATAACAAAATTTTTGATTATTTTAATTTTTTTCACTTATAATGGTATAAAACTCAAAGGTAGGTGATGGTATTGAACCTTATTTTGGAACAAACATTTATATTTGTATAAACCCGAATTAAAAAAGTGGTTATAAATTAATTCCTGTCATACAGAAGGGTTTAAAGACTTTGGGTGTCGCGGGGGGAGGTGACTTTTCAATGCATTTTTCATCCCATTGTCAATGAAAAACCAATGGGCCCTGCGGGAATCCGAACTCAGACCCGCTGACAAATAGGAGTCGGATACCTTAAACCCTGTCACCGCGGTCCCGTAACGATTTTGCGTGTCATCCTCGCGCAGGGCTAATCTTCTCTGAATCGTTCAAATTTTAGTATATGTTCCGCCAAAGCAAGGAGGATCCAAGCCTACACGGCTGTTTATGTGGCACATGAACAGTATGTATACACGTAGCAAAATGAGAACAGTGCTGAGGTGGTTGACAATTTAGAAATAAACAATACAGGCATCCAAATAGGGGAGATTCAAGGCTGCCATTTGTAGCGAACAGCGGGTTCCTACAAAACTGTTGAAGGTAATCTTGCAAAAACCACTCTTCAACTGTCAAACGGACTAAATATGTCACATGTGAATCGTACTTACGCAACTTCGGATATGAGTTTTTGCAAATTACAAGTGGATTTAAATTAGAACACATTTTGAAAAATTAAATTCACTAATTTCGTGGTCCTCTTGACCGATTAATATATTACAATTAATTAACGTTTTTAGTCGAGATAAAAAAGTCAATGGCACGAGCGGGATTCGAACCCACGATCTTCGGCTAGATACGCCGCTGCTACCACTTGAGCTATCGTGACCTCGATCCACTCGGACACCAACTTCCCATCTCAACCGCACCTTTTGAATTTTCCCTCCTTTTAGCCTTATTTTGAAAAATGTCTCATTTTGTTGTAATTTCGAAAGAATGATCAAATATGACTTGAAAGACTATGGATAATGGACAATGTACTTATATAAAACCATCGGAACAACCGGGGCTAAAATGACCATTGTCGAAGAAAGGTCCCCGGCAAAAAAAGCAAACGAAATTTAAATTTGTTTGATACTGTCAGGCGCGTTTAGGCATTCTGCCATCTTCACAGATACTAGACAGGTAGCTGTATCAGTGTCTCGCTTGTATTATGACTCACAAACAGGTCAGATAATCACATTCGCATTTTAGTATAAAAAATTTACAAGCAGGCCTGATTTTTTAGTAATATTCAGTCAGGGAGGAATTCTGGATTGACATGATCCCTTAAAGTTTCTCTAAATATTTGGACTGGAAATTTATATTTTATAATTTAAATCACCACCTGTTTTATAGTTTCATAATTTGAATCTTCTATTGACATTTCTGAAAGCTGCATAGAATACGTTTCTATCCGACGATTCTTCATATCAATTCATGCCCGTTTATGCAATCCCATAGGCGTAAAGGAGGAGGGAAAATAGCAAATATTAATGGAAACGATAAATTATTCTTAAAAGGAAAAGCGAGTGGTGGAAAGGTTCCCTAGGGGATATTTTTATGACTGGGACTGGGACGGCAAGGTAGGGCGGCTAACGAAAGAGCCGGTGCAGGTGCGGGGTCGTGCGGAGCCAAGTAGGCCTCGAAGCCAAGTTTGGGCCCTGGATTACCGTCCCCGCCTCCGCCCAGACTGTAAACCGACCGTCTTACAAAACCCCTTAATTCCAACGAGACCCCTTCACCCACGAAAACATCCCAGGATCGTTTGCGAACATGCAAGGAAACTAATTTTCCAGCAATAAAGAGATGAACTTAGATCTAAAAAAATAATTTGGGCTTCCTCAGTTAAAAGCTTTCTTTAAATGATTTGCGTTACTAAATTTTTTCACGAGTTACTGAGACCCCAAAACTGAGCTTAATCAATTGGTCATTTTTTTAAAAAGGAAAAACTCGACACCTTCTTTCCGACAATATCTGAGTTTCAGCTTTTGTTTCATTCAGGGCTGAGCACACCTTCTCAAGTTGCCAGATTGGTAAACCGTGTCACAAGAAACAAAAAACAAGTTTAAAAAGCACACAGGGCTGGTTTTTCTAGATAATGAAAAGCTGTTAATACAATCTGGCACAAAGGGATTGTTTATATGGCTTATAATATACAATTTCCCATCCTAAATATTGAAAGATTTTTAACAGGTATTTACAAAAAATAAAAATTAGGGTGGGTGCTGGAGTCTCACAAGGTTCAGTTCTTGGGCCAGCATTAGTCGTCATTTTCACAAATGCGTTATATTGCTTGTCGTTGAGGGCGAGCGCTCCTTTCAACAATTTACACTGAAATTTCCATTTTAAAAATTTGTTTCAGTTTTAAACTCAGGCTCAATACCAAGTCGAGAGGCAATATTTACAAAAATATAAAAAGATAACATACCATACTGATTACATAAAAATTGGAAGTTCACTTGGGCCTATATTGTGAAATACCTTGGTGTACACTTTGAAAAAAAAAAATAATGTTAACACCCATAAACAGATTGAGAAAATCAAGTCTGCTTTAAAAATATTATTTCCTCCAGTTGAGCCTGGAAAATCACTCTTTACACTCACTACAATTTGTAGAAGTCGTGAGGAGCGGAGAATGAGGTAGTTTAGAAAAACCCATTTTTAATTTTTGTGCCGACGTTTCGACCTTTATTCGAGTTTCCTTCGGGGCCTGGGTAAATTACAAAACACGCTGATTGGAAAAAATACAATTTAAGATATAAATACTATAGCATTTCATACTCACATAAGGTGTGGTGCGTTTCTTGTGGTTCATATTGGTTTTGTGTGAAAGTGTTGTGAATAGTGACTTTGTATTCTGCTGTTTGACGCGGTAAACCTGGGAAATATTCTTTGATCATAGGCGGTATTATTTAACTTAAAGGAAATCGAGAATGGGGATTTTCTGGATTGGATTTGTGATTCAGCATTCAATATTGGAAAGGAAGTTAATTAAGGACGATAAACGAAGGAAAAGGAAAAAATAAAACTAAGGTTTAATAGTTTATTTGCTTTATGATGTTGGCGTGGCTACGGCCGAGTTTGCAAGTATATGTTCTGTAATTATTTATGCTGTGTGGGTCTCTGTTAATATAAACCATTTCTAGAAAGTTGCGTCTGTATTAGTATTTTTCCGTCTTTAGTAGTTATATTTTGCCAAAATCAAAGTTGTGTTCTTTTTCAAAGTGGTATGTGGCCAATGCTGTGGGATTGGTTTTTATGTTTTACAGCCACATGTTGTTTTTTCCGTTTTTCTAGATATTGCGATGTAATTCCAATGTATGTTGCGGGACAATTCAACACAATTAATTTTATAAATTATATCGGATTTGGAGGCTGTTGGTGTTGGGTCTTTGACTTTGAAAAATGTGTATTTACTGTTTTACGGTTTTTAAATGCTATTTTAATATGTTCTGAGGAAAGAAATTTACTTAATCTGTGTGACAATGTGTGGCCGAATGGAATGGACATGTATGTTGTTTTGTCTGTGTATGATCGTTTTGGTGATGTGTTGTGGAGGATGTTGTTTTGCGTAGTGCTGGGTTATAATTGTTTGTGTTTCTGTCGATTGTTTTTAAGGTAGTTATTATTATATAAAAATTCACTAGTTTCCTGGTACACTTGACCAATTAATATCTTACAATTAATTAAGGTTTTCAGTTGAGATAAAAAAGTCAATGGCACGAGCGGGATTCGAACTCACGATCTTCGGTTTATATAAAAAGTTAGTAAGTTTTGATTGTATGTTTGAATACTTTTTAGGAGAAAGGATTCATGACTTACGAAATATGATTCTGTGTAATAATCCTTTAGCCGTGTTTAACATACTGTGTAAGGGTGGTGTAATATATAATTGAAGTTCAGTGTTCGTTCGTTTTTGGTACCAATTAATGTGCCATCTGTTTGCCTTATTACGAGAGTGTCTAGGAATGATATTTAGTTTTCTGTTTTGATTTCATGTGTGAATTATAAGCGAGGATGAAATTTGTTAAATGTGAGTAAAGTTGTTAGTATTTGAACTGACGGCACTGCTGTTAGAACGTCATCAATGTATTTAGTGAGAAGGGTAAAGTGAAAGTTAATTGTGTAATAGCAGTGGTAAGTAATTGTGTCATCACTATATATGCTAGTATAGGGCCTATATAGCTGCCCTTGGCTATGCCGTTTCTAGAAATGGTTATTGTATGTGAAATATCCGTTTGTGCAGCAGTGTAGCAACATTGTTATGAAGTATGCTTTTGAGAGATTTGTTTGTGGTGTTATGTGGTGCCCTTTGTCTTTGATAATGTCAAGTGTTAGGTTTATTGGGATGTTTGTGAAAAGCGGTGAGATGTCTAGAGATACAACTGTGTGGTTTGTGGGTATGATGATTTGGTTTATTATGTTTATGAAAAGAAACGAGTCTTTTACGTTGTAAGTCGTGTCTGCGACATGTTGGTCAGGTATTTTGAGGGAAATTATTGGTCTCAAAGGATATCCGGGCTTGAGGACTATGACAGCTCCAAACAATTTATAGGATGTGAGTGAATTATTCTGGAAATATTTATATGTGTGCATATCTATTTCTTTGTCTTCTTGGAAAAAGTGTTTTTCTAAACTACCTCATTCTTGACCGCTACTCACGACTTCAACAAATTATGAACTTATGAAAACAGGTCACTAAGAAAACAATATGTAATGTCATGAATTGAGGTGTATGCATGTAATTTATTAAAATTAATTAAGGTTTTTAGTCGAGATAAAAGGCACGAGCGGGATTCGAACCCACGATCTTCGGCTTGATACGCCGCTGCTCTACCACTTGAGCTATCGTGACCTTGATCCACTCGGACACCAACTTCCTATCTCAACCCCACCTTTTGAGTTTTCCCTCCTTTTGGCCATTTTTATCTCAACTAAAAACGTTAATTAATTGTAATATATTAATTGGTCAAGCGGACCACTAAATTAGTGAATTTAATGAAATGAAGTATACTTCACTAAAGCTCTCCGTGGCCATTTCATTTGTCGCCGAGAATCCAATCCGATTACACGACATTTGAAAAATGGGAAAAAGGAGGGAAAATTCAAAAGGTGGAGTTGAGATGGGAAGTTGGTGTCCGAATGGATCGAGGTCACGATAGCTCAAGTGGTAGAGCAGCGGCGTATCTAGCCGAAGATCGTGGGGTCGAATCCCGCTCGTGCCATTGACTTTTTTATCTCGACTAAAAACCTTAATTAATTGTAATATATTATTGGTCAAGCGGACCACGAAATTAGTGAATTTAAGTAATTTATTAACTTGAATTGTAGGGTTCATCCCAAATTACCCTGAAGAAAATCGGATAATCTGACATAGTGTGAATATATT